AATATAAATATTTACTCTCTATATGGTTCCTGGTTTTCAGAGGGACCTTTCTATGCTTTCTTGGAGAGACAGCATATATTATGAGACATTCCAGACCTGAGCATGTCTTTTGAGGTCAGGGAAAGAAACACAGTTTTCACAGCTATTAATAGCTTCTGTTTATTAAATGCCTACTATACACCAGAAATATTACACATACTGTCTTCTTCCCCTTACAAAAGCTCTGTGAGATAGGCATCATTTATCCTTATTCCCGGATGAGGACAGTGATGAAGACTTGGCGGGAGACTTGCCACATAGTTAAATAGGTGGCAGAAAGGGGATAAGAGCCCAGGGCTGTCTGACTCCAAAGCCCATGTTCTTTCCACTAAAAACGACCTTAGCAAAACCCTGGAGTTTGGCTGAGATCTTACAGGACAATAGGCTTGCACAAAGCGGGTAGGAGAAGATAAGATCCAGTCTACAAAATAGGCGAGAAGTTGCATCTTTGAAGGTCTGATGCAGTTTGGCTTGCAGGGTGATCAGGAGCCCTACAGAGCTTCAGAGTCAGAGTGCCACGAGCACTGGCAGGCTCCTCCCCCAGGGAGTGCTGCGCCAGACCCTTGTCGAAGAAAAAGAATGTTTGGACGAGGGAAAGAGTACTTGGCATTTAGGAAAGGTAGAGTAGTGTAGACATAAAATTGCAAAGTCATAGGCAAAACATCTTTATGGGGTCAATGATCAAGAGGTGAAATTTCGATGAGGGAAAAAAGGGGACATATGTAATACTTTCAACAGTTAAGATTTTTTTAAAAAGAGGGTAATGCTGCAAAAAAGAAAGTGGTCTTGGCACTGAATTTGCCTCTTATCCTTGTAACATTTCGAGTTCTCAGATGTTGAGGTTGGTAAGCATTTTTCTGTGGTGAGTGAAGAGTAGTACTCTCCGACCGGTACACAGGCCTAGGGAAGGCGGGGCAGGACAGGTACAAGAAACGCTCTTCCCTCAAAAATAGTATGGGTCTACTCAACAGTGCCATTCTGGGGTGTAGGATCTGATCCCTGCCTGTTTATGCATTTTATCAGCATCTTTCAGATCACTGGACAGGACATTTCAGAAAGTAAAATGAAGGTCCTCTATTAGGAGGCCCCCAGTTTTCCACTCTTGCTGTTGCAGAGGATGAAGCCCCAGTGGAGTCTTTTGAGACCCGCTTGGAGTTGACTGCCAGCCGGAACTCTTTCTGAGCCTTCACTCTTTTATGTTGAACACTAGTGGCTTTTCCCTCTTGGTGTTGCAAATTTGACATTTAATAAGGATGATTTACTATAATTTTCTTTTTTTGAAATATATTTTTATTAACTTCAGAGAGGAAGGGAGAGAGAGATAGAAACATCATAATGAGAGAGAATCATTGATCGGTTGCCTCCTGCAAACCCCAAGCTGGGGATCAAGCCCACAACCCAAGCATGTGCCCTGACAGGGAATTGAACTGTGACCTCCTGGCTCATAGATTGATGCTCAACCACTGAGCCACAATGGGTGGGCAAATTTTCCACAGTTCTGTAAAATTATAAGCCTACAAAGCAGTTCCCCTCATTCAAACTATAGAACAGTAAACATCCCTTCTTCCAGCCTCTCTCAAGCTCTCTCTAGCTCATTTGAATGGAAGGAATTGACTTTTATAAAGAGGGAGGTTGGTGAGTCACTCCCTGCAGAGACCCTGCTTCCAGCTTTCTTTCTCTTTGCCTTTTGCACTAGTTGAGTGCTTAGCTTGTCATTCTGATACAGTTTTTCTGCATAGTTCAGCTTTTATACTTTCTGAGCAGCAGCATTGAATATCTCCCTGGAGATAAAAGTTTTTACTCTTTTCTCTTTTAAGGCAGATGTCTCATCAAGTAGTGGAGGACACTGGCTATCAGAAATCACTATTTTTGTCCCCTTTTACCCTTGTTTTTAATACTGTTGTCACTTGAACCTTTCCACTCTTGGCTTATCCCCCAGTTTTTGCCCTATCTTTCAGGGAAGTAACAATCTATTATGAAATATTCACAGGCTAGCTGTGAACTTGGGTCCATGAGCAGTGAACACATAAAAATAGAATTTAGCAACTTAATACTTTTAACTGTGCATCTCAGAGTTCAGTATACCTAGGCAAAAACATAGTCAGCTCTACAGGAGGGAATAGTAAGTTGTGGTAGAGACAAATATTTGCTGGAAACTGTTAGGGTCACAGAAGGAGGAGCACATGACATCGAAAGTGATAAAGAATTATACATTTTTTAGATCATCTGGAAACCAGGTGGGCTGAGCCTCCAAATGGCGCCAGCACTCAGGGAAGGGGTGTCAGATTTTAAAGGACTCTAGGCGGGCTTTTTAGGGGAACTCTCTGAGCGGGTTGGATCCTGGGGAAGTCTGGAGGGGAAAGACAATGGTCTTAGCAAGTGGAATGTGGTCTAAGCAAAAGGGAATTTCGGTTGTGAAATGTTCTAAAGGTCAGTTTCCCAGAGGTATCAATTCAATTATTTGATCAGACCTATCAGAAACTAAAATAATTTCCTGAAAAAGCAATATCTATTTGCAAGAATAGATATTTGCAAGAATCAAAGAGAAAGGGGTTGTTTTCTATTAAAGCTTAGCATCTTTAATAGATGACTCCCTTTCTCTCTGGTCACTCTGATTTTTCTTCTCAGGCTCAGATTTCTATAATTTGTTAAGGAAAAGGCCAGTCAAGCTTCATAGCACTACCTCCAACTGGCAGTCAGGAGAGGACTCTGTAAAAACTTACTTCTCGGGGACCTAACAAACTCCATTTAGGAAATGTGTTGTTAACTAGTAATTAAATCCAGAGAAAACATATATTTCTGTTTTGAAAATAAGAGCTTCTATTTGTTTTCTGTCACCCAAAAGATTATTTGTAAAGAGTACAAGGTATATACCTTGGCTGGTTTGGTTCAGTGGATAGAGCGTCAGCCAGGTTTGATTCTGGTCAAGGGGATATGCACAGGTTGCAGGCTCAATCCCCAGTGAGGGGCGTGCAGGAGGCAGCCAATCAATGATTCTGTCTCATCATTGATGTTTCTATCTCTCTCTCCCTCTCCCCTCCTCTCTAAAGTCAATTTAAAAAAAAAAAAAGAATACAAGATATAAATGTCTCCAATGAATTTGGCCTGGGTCAGGACCTCTGTTCTTGAATAGTCTCAGTCATTGCATTTCGTTAGGAAGAACTGAGCTTTTCCAGAAGGTAACACACAGTTGAACTTGCCTCCTTCCGTAGGGTACCCCACGTCCCTCTTATTCCTCCCCTTAGTGTTTCTAGTGTTATGGGTTTGGTTTCTAATCTTATTTTGCTGTGTAAGCTGCAAAAGTGTCAGGTTTTTCTGACTGTTCTCTGCCTTCTGATTACCCTTTTAAGCAATGCTGATTGCAGGAAATGGCTGTGGTGCAAGGCGGTGCCACAGTGATTAGAACCCGTGGTGTCATTGCCTGTCTGATTGAAGTAATCACACAGAGGGGAAGAGCAGATGGAATGCTCCCAAATGTGCAGAGGAGACTGTTTCTCATCATTTGGGTTTAAGGATTTTGAGTTAAAGAATCAAAGTTAATGTGAGTTTAAGGCTTGTGTTTTTAGTCATTTTGTTTCATTCTTAATCTTCAAAACTTCTTCAGAACTTCTGGGTCTCTGAATGTTGTTTTTCTAAGGAAAATAGGTTTTGCTATTTACCAAACACAAGGTCCCCTGTATACTAGTACATGAGTATAAAATCGTGGCTGAGCATATCAAGGGAAAAGATACTAGAATGTAAATGGGATGAGCAGGTGAGAAGGAAATGGGAAAGGCCTCAATAGCTCAATTCTGCAAGCCTGCCCCTCCCCACCCCCTTTCAGATGCCATGGGAAGTCCAGGTTGTCACCTGTACTTCTGACCATTGGAAGTTCCAACAGCCCCCTCCTTAGATTCAAATAATTGGCTAGAGCAGCTCACAGAACTCTGAGAAACATGTACTTGGGTTTACCAGTTTATTATAAAGAATACAAGTGAATAGCCAAGTCCAAGAGATGCATAGATGTATATGGAAAGGGGCTTGGAGCCCTTATGCTGTCCCCACACCATGTGCTCACCAACCTTTTGGATTTTTATGGAGGCTTCATTTAATAGGCTTGATTGGTTAAATCATTGGCCATTGGTGATTGAACTTTATTGCCAGCCCTTTTTTCCTCCCCTGAGGTCAGAGTTCAGGGGGTAGGACTGAAATTTCTTACCCCCTAATCCAGTGATGGCGAACCTATGACACGCGTGTCAGAGGTGACACGCGAACTCATTTTTTTGGTTGATTTTTCTTTGTTAAATGGCATTTAAATATATAAAATAAATATCAAAAATATAAATCTTTGTTTTACTATGCTTGCAAATATCAAAAAATTTCTATATGTGACACGGCACCAGAGTTAAGTTAGGGTTTTTCAAAATGCTGACACGCCGAGCTCAAAAGGTTCGCCATCACTGCCTAATCACAAGATTGGTTCCCCTGGCAGCCAGTCCTGAACCTCTGGTTATCTAGGGGCTTTCCTAAGGTCTCCTAATTAACATAACAAAAGATACTTTATCACTCTCATCACTTAGGAAATTCCAAGGGCTTAGGAGTTCTGTGCCTGGTAGGGGGATGAAGACCAAATACAGATTTCTTATTGTACATCAAAATATCACCATTAACCTATTTAAATTATTTGGTTGTTCTGAAAAAGTATTAGTCCCATTTGGGCATGGCTATTTGAATTAGATATACTTATCCGTACAGAAAATGCAGTTTAATATTCTGAAACTTGATTTTTGTCTAAGTCATGATCAATCCCATTGTCTTCCCATCTTCTGTTCTTGTGAGCATGGAAAGAGTGGGCTGTGGAATCTCTTTAACTCACGGCATTGGATCACCAGCATTACTCAAATGGAGATTGTTATGAGCCAACACTGTAATAGGTGTCAAAGGCATCCACTAATGATTTCTTATGTCTTTGTCTCCCTCAGGTACAGAACCGTGGCATTTCTATTTAATTAATGGATTTCTGAATTTTAATGTAGTCTTTGCTTTGGCTCTCCTGGTCTTACCACTGACTTCTCTTATGGAATACCTACTGCAGAGATTTCATGGTGAGTGGCACAAGGGATGATAGGTGTTTTGGGAGGGAAGAGCAAGTAACAATGTATACCAAGAAATGAAAAATCAACAATGAAGATTTTAAAAAAAGAAATGAAAAAGAATCTGCTTATTTATTCTCCATTCTCTCCCTTTGGAAATGGTTGATTTATTGAATTTCTATCTGTATGCGTGGATTATTTAGACTCCTGTGAAGATGTGGTGAATAATTGCAAATTAAGCTGACAAGGAGGAGCTTATATCCCTTAAAGTGGGCAGTCAGTATAATTCACAGAACCACCCTGGGAGGCAAAAAAAAGCTTATAAAATCTCAGAAGATAAACCTATTTGATTAAGTCTCCTGTTTTTTAAAGAAGTGTTAACATGGTAGATTGTTTAAGATAATCAGTGCTACTGCTGGTGGGAATGCAGACTGGTGCAGCCACTATGGAAGACAGTATGGAGTTTCCTCAAAAAACAAAAAATGGAACTCCCATTTGACCCATTGATCCCACTTCTAGGAATATATCCCAAGAAACCAGAAACACCAATCAGAAAGGATATGTGCACCCATATGTTCATAGCAGCACAATTCACCATAGCTAAGATCTGGAAACAGCCTAAGTGCCCATCAGTAGATGAATGGATTAGAAAACTGTGGTACATCTACTCGATGGAATACTATGCTGCTGTAAAAAAGAAGGAACTCTTACGATTTGCAACGGCATGGATGGAACTGGAGAGCATTATGCTAAGTGAAATAAGCCAGTCAATGAAGGAAAAATACCACATGATCTCACACATTCATGGATAATAGAGACCATTATAAACTTTTGAACAATAATAGATACAGAGGCAGAGCTGCCTCAAACAGATTGTCAAACTGCAGCGGGAAGGCCGGGGAGGGTTGGGGGGCAGGAGGGAGGGGGGTAAGAGATCAACCGAAGGACTTGTATGCATGCATATAAGCATAACCAATGGACATAAGACACTGGGGGGTAGGGGAGGCCAGGGGATTGTCAAGGGGGGGCGGGAAAGGACACATATGTAATACCCTTTGTAATACTTTAAGCAATAAAAAAAAAAAAAGAATAATAAAAAAAAAAGATAATCAGTGCTAGAGGCAAACATTCTTTGGGAAATCATTTCCACCCAAAATCTGAAAACTAAGCCATATAGGGAGTCCCCCGAATTAGATACTGAAGTGAGAGAAGCTTTGGACTCTGCTCTTTTGTTCTGTTTTGCTTCCCTTTGCCTTATTGTGAAAAGTTTAGGTTGTCATTTGTTTTGCTTGCTCTACTTCACAGCCAGTGTTTTCTCAAGTCATGCTTACGATATCTAGTGCTATAGTTTCTCTTATGGAAGACAGAATTGAGTAGAAATTAAAATGTGATTTGGAAAGAGTTTTATTTCAGACTTTTCAGTCTGATTTGGTTGCCATGTGATTGATCTTTCCACTCCACTCCTTATTCTGCTTTTCTACTATTAATGGTTTAGGAAGAGTTTACTGTACTATAAGAATAGAATAGGAAAGCAGCCTTCAGAGTCACTTTTGTTTTGTGTGAGGACTTTTGTTTTAACATAACCATAATGCCATAACAAAATTAAGAAATTGCTTAATATCATCTAAAATCAAGTTGATATTCAGATTTTCTTCATTATCTGAAAAATAGCTTTTTACAGTTAGTTTGTTTAAAGGAGGATCTAAATACAAGTCATATACTGAATTTAGTATTATGTTTCTTAAGCTTTTTAAAAGGTCCCCCACTCTCACCTCTTTTTTTCCTGAAGATTTCTAAGGAAATTAGGTCATTCATATTGTAGTGTTTCCACATATGTGGTTTATTTATTTATTTATTTATTTTTATTTTTTTAATTCTTTATTAGTTAAGGTATTACAAATGTCCTCATCCCCCCCCCATTAACCCCCTCCCCAACTCATGTTCTCATCCCCCTGTTGTCCATGTCCATTGGCTTGGCTTATATGCATGCATACAAGTCCTTTGGTTGATCTCTTCCCCTTACCCCCTCCCTCCCCTACTTTCC